CAGTTGGAGTATCATTTCCGGGCTACACAGAAGGGTACTTTTTATCCATCGGAGGAAAAGTGAATTTGTCGTCGGGGAACCCATATCAAGGTATGATGAATAATTCATTTAGATCGTGGAAGCAATCTCGACTTCGGCTTTGTTCGGAAATCTGTGACGCATTCAAGGACGGGGGATAAATTGTTCAATTTTTGTTTAAATGGAGATATAAGCAAAATTATATTCAAATTTTAAGTCTTAGAGTGTAATTTCCCGCCATCTAGAGGTGCCATAATCACAAATGTTCCGTACCTCAGCCCCAACCATGGTGGAACTGAGGTGGTAGAGTCCTCCATCTACTAAAGTAACCAGTGGCGAATTCAATGGGGACCCAACCGGCCCGCCTCCGCCCCTAAATTGTTTAAAAAATGGAGATATGAAGATAATTATATTCAAATTTTATGTCCGGAAGTACAATTTCCCGTCATCTAGATGTGCCATAATCACAAATTTTCTTACCTCAGCACCAATCATGGTGGGGCTGAGGTAGTATAAATTTTCTATCTGTGAAAGTACTCTCCCTGAGTCCTTCTATTTCTAATTCCTGGATCCGCCACTGGAAATCACAACAAATATGAAGTCATATTACATTAGCTTGATGGCTATAAAATAACCACCAGGGTATAGCCAACAGGGGCCCTTTGCGCCCTCCCTGGCCCCCAACCTAGATGCTCGCTTCTCTCGCATATTGGACCTTATGAAATGGTTTCCCCCCCCCCCACTTTTAAAAAAAGTTCCGCCGCCGTTGGGTGACTTATTTTATAAGAGTGCCATTTCCGGCCAGCTTGAGGTACTTTTACCTCTAATTTTCGCACCTCAGCCTCAACTATGTAGGAGCTTGGGTGGGTTTCGACTCACGGCTTTGAAGTCGGTTAAACAAAGTATATACATCAAAGAAAATGTTTTAAAGTTTTATTTTCTTGGTAAATCACACATATTAATTGGATCTCTATGGTTGCCGAGAGACTTTTTTTTACTATAATGGTGATTTAATGACGAATTTTACTACATAACAGGGCCGGTCGTTTCTGGCCGTCAAGAGGTACTAATTCCACAAATTTTCGCACCTCTGCCCCATGACCATGGTGGGGTTGATATAGATGTGACTCGTCTTTGAAGGAGGTAAAGTAAAGTAAATACATCATCAAAGACAATGTTTTAACATTTATTTTCTATGTTTGGGCGGATTCAAGGTGCAACCGATGCGATCACACTTCCTAAATTGTATTAAGAAAAATAATTGTTGTATTGTATTGTTGATATATTAATTTTATCATTATGAACATAGTACCGGTAGGATTTTTGAAGTATGGGAGTTCAATTTCCGGGCACCCATGGTGGGGCTGAAGTGGGTGTTGGCTCACGGCTTAGAGTAGGTAAAGTAAGTGTTTACATCAAGACAATTTTTTTAAGTTTTATTTTCTATGGTACATCACACGTATTAATTAGACCTCCATATTTGCGAAAATCGCTGATATATAAAGATAATGAGAAATAATGGTGATGTGGTGATGATGAATTTTACTGTTACTAGAGTGTCATTTCCGGCCGTCTAGAGGTAGGCCTACTATTTCCTCAAACATTCGCACCCAGGTCCCCCCCTCATATTTCAAAACAGATGTATGCCCTTGATCGTCGAATCAAAAATCAATAAAAATTAATAATTTGCCTATCGAAATGACGT